AGAGCTGAATCGGAAGTGGAGCAGCCAAGGTTCAAAGCAGCACCTATATGGGATGCTGGCACTGCAGGCAGCAGCTTTACCCACTATGCCATGTTGCCAGCCCCCACATAAGTGAATTTTTCTCCATTTTGCTGTAGTGACTAATAACCAATCTGTTATGTAAAACATGTTTGTTGAATGAATGTTAAATTAATCTGTGAATAGTGCTTCTTAAAAATTAACTAATTTGAGAGGTAGAAAGAAAAACACAACCAGAGCTCGCACCAACTGGTTCACTCCCTAAATGCCTGCGTGGGCTGGGGCTGGGCGGGGCCTGAAGTCAGGAACCAGCACCTCAGTCTGGGTCTCCTATTTGGATGTCAGGGATCCAGTGCTTGAGCTACTACCTTCAGTCTCCCAGGGTTTTCGTTGACAGGAAAGTGGAATTGGGAGTAGAGCTGGGACTCAAACCCAAAACTCTGGCATGGGACATAGGCTTTCCAACCAGCACCATAACCACCAGGCCAAACGCCTATTCCCTTGACAGCACTTCTTATGGTAACTCTAGTTAACAAAATCCCATAATAAATGAAAAATTTTATATCAGAGGCCCATAGAGTTTTTTTAAAAAAGATTTATTTATTTATTTATTTATTTGAAAGTCAGAGTGCAGCAGAGAGAGTGCATCTCTCTCTCACAGAGAGAGAAGGAGAGGCAGAGAGAAGAGAGGTTTTCTATCCACTGGTTCACGCCCCAGATGGCCACAACGGCCAGAGCTGTGTCGATCGGAAGCCAGGAGCCAGGAGCTTCCTCTGGGTTTCCCATGCTGGTGCAGGGGCCCAAGGACTCGGACCATCTTCCACTGCATTCCCAATGCCCACAGAGATTAATGTACCCTTCCCTTTTCCCAGAGACTAGCTTACACCTGAACCATTCAGCTAAGGGTGTGTATAACTTACAACCTAAGGGAAAGGGATTATTAAATCCAACAGCTTAGTCAAGCACGTGTCCTATGTATGCCTCTGACTCTACAATCACTGGCAATATTATATAAGGGGATAGACTACTGAGTAGAGTCAGCATGTACCACAGCAGAGTAATCAGCTTTGGAAGACTGAAACCATGTGCTAGCCTGTTCCAAGGAAACCTGATACCAGGACCTTCAGTGGATTCTGCTGCCTTCGCAGTTACATGTTATCCAACAGTCTGGAGCAAGAAAATTTAGAGAACAAGCATGACTCTCAGAAGACCATAATGAGTCTGACCTCACATTGAACACTAGGGGCCTAGAAGATTATAGTTCTATGTATGAGGCTATTCTTAAAAGTTTGTGGAAAATAGAATTTAAGTATAAATTTATTTTGACGTAAAATATTGAAATCCATGCACTTGAGGGGTCTTCAAATAGTTCATGTAAAATGTGTATTATGAAAAAATGACACATGGGCTTTTTTTTTGCACCAAAATAAATTTACCTTTTAATTCCATCTTCCACAAACTTCTTAAAGTATCTTCATACGTTGTTTGTGTTTCTATGGACCACGCATCCCTTCTTAATTGGTATTCCCTGCTAACAGTTGCTATACTGAATACAGAGGAGAAAGACCTTAATTTTACCAGACGTTGCAAACTTAAAGTTCAGATTCCAGCTCAGCCTTGATAACAGTACTTCCAAATGGCAGTGAACAGAAAATCCTGCAGCAAGATCTTCTGACAATGAGGTCTTGTTTGCACTGGGCGATGTGGAGCACTTAAAAACTAGGTGTCCACATCTTTGATTCGATTCCAGGGTGCATCTGACTACAGCTGCCTTCAATCCTGAGCAGTTCTCATCAGTGGAGTTGGAGCCAAAAGAAACGAAGTTGTTGGTTTATTGTTAAGGCGCAGTCCCTTACCTGGGAAGAAGAGAGGACCTTCTTCTAAAGTGGCTGTATTAGCACCGAATGAGGCACTGGTGCAGCAACCTCAACGCACAAGAGGGGATCCACCTGAGGACTGTGGGACAATCAGCCCCCAGGGAGGAGCACGCAGGGGCTGAGCTTGGCCCCGCGAAGGCCCTGAGCAGCCTGGTATGGAGGAAGCCAAGCTGTGGTGGGGCAGGAAAGACCCAGGCCAACGTCAAGGGAGTCTCAGGGCACTGGGCAGGCATCTTAGGGAGGAAGCGCTAAAGGAAGCAGAGGAAGAAATCTGGATTTCCTGAGGATTTGATCCTTGAGGAAAATTGCCCATGGGGCAGCTCCTTTGCAACTATAATCCTGCAGCGAAAGCAGAAGCATGCTGTCAATTCAAGCAAAATCTCGGAGGAGACCCACAATGTTGCCAGGCAGTGATCAGAGGCACTCACTCCGTGTGCCCTATGTTGTGCAGGCAGAGAGAAGAGGCACAAACGGCGGTGCATCCTGCACACAGTGGCCACAGTGTCTTACCACGGTGGCAGGACAGAAGTCACAGACACCCTCTAAGGGGCCTCAAGTCCGGCACTTCCTGTCTCATAAACACCAGTGCTAGAAAAAAACTAACAAGCGCGTCTTTATAGCCCGCTACAGCTGGGACATTTTGGATCAACCCCTTCAAAAAATCTCATTCCAGAACAGAGGAAGGCTTCTTACATTTCCTTTCTGTTACTTTAGGAAATTTGAACAAAATATGTTCCAGTGAAATATACAAATATTTATTTTTAAATATTTATATTTTAAAATACTTGCCAGCTCACAAAGTGTTCTTTATGGAAGACTTGTCAGATCTTGGTATGGAAGACTCTGTGTTTGGAAAGGTTTTATTTATGGATCTAGGGGAAAAAAAAAAAAGAGTAACCAAAAATGGACCAATAGCTTGCCCCACACTTTGCTCTGGGCCTGAATCCAGCGTGGAAAGTTTCAGTCCGTAAATAGACTCTTTCAGGAAGTTTTGGATGATAGTGAGGATGGTGTAAGAAGAAGAGGTGTAACACCCTCACTTGAGCTTTGATGAGTATTGTCCTGTGAGAAAACTAGAGTGACCAATGAGCTCCAGGGATTTTGGTCTCTTATTAAATTATGGAACAGAGGCATTCACACCCTGGGCAAGTAGTCCGGACCAGGCTTGCTGACAGAAGGAGTGCGTGTGAGAAGTGCACCAGCTGTCTGAGCATCATCCGGGGTAAGGGATACCCAACAGGCTGCTGATGCATTTAGGGGGCACACCCAATAGCCATCTGCACGGTGCAATCATTGAATCTATGTTCTTGCTGTGTCTCTGAAAACTACATGAGAATCTACATCCAAACTATTCACATCAACTTTTATGACTTTTGGATTCATTCTGGAAGACTGTCTGAACTGAAACAAATATATCAAAACGGCTCAGCTTTTCTGAATGAGATGAGCTTTGAGGAATGATGCTTATGGTCCTTCAATGTGGGATGCATCAGAATTATTTATGGAACTTGTTACAAACTAAGTGGCCTGAGAGGAAAACTTGATATTAAAAACAGCTTTGAAAGCAAAACACATGATTCCTCCAAACTCCTTTCTCCTCCAGGTTACTCATTGTACCTAGTGACTCACAGGCAAAACAATATTACAGATGTTCTTTGAATCTGGATTTCAAAAGACTCACATCTAGAAAAAGTTCTTAATCATATTCAACACATTCTTGATATATTCTGAATATTTTTAGAATTACTCTTTTCCTTGGCTCTGCTGATCTCTGAGTCAATATGGAACTATTGTTAAAATTTCACTTTAATTTGGCGTTGCTTTATTTTTGCATAATTATCCCCCACACAAAAGATGAACAGATTTTGACTTTTTTAGAAAGGTATGATTCTTTTCTTTTTAGAAAACGTGATTTTCTTCCTGCTCAACATAAGTATATGAAGACTGTTAAAAAGAAATTTCCTTAGACCAATTAAATCTACTAGAGTGTATTTGAGCAAAGAAAAACAAAACAGTTTGTGATTTGGGCAACTCTCAGAACCAGAGCAGATTCTGTGAATGCCAGCCACCAACATGATCAGAAAGCACTGATAGGAAAACAGAAGGAAGGTAGAGACACAACTTAATTAGCTGCAGCTTAGGCCATCAACTGCTCTGTTGGTTACAGCATGATAAGTTCATTGGCTGTGATCAACCAACATCCAGTTACTGTTACTCAGCACTATGTTGGTTTGGTCTGTTGGGCCTAGTATAGCTACCCAGTCTATACTTATGACCTCCTAAACCACTTTACTTTCACAAAACAGAAGATTCTTTCAAATCAGAAATATCAGAAAAGGGCAAAAGTCAAAAGGGAGTAGTGAAACATCACCGATGAGCTGATTGTTTCAAATCTGACTTTCTTGTACCCAGAAACTCATGGTCTATTTTTAATCATTTTTTTAAAAGTAAATAAAAGGCTGGTATGAGCCATAAAAGACCTTCTATAAGGAGTATGTAATTCCTAAGAATCGCAATTAGTTGGTCACCAGGAAAGGACAGAGAAGCCTTTATAAGCAGCTGGCTTTTCCAAGGTTTCCTTTTACAGTTCAAGAGCTCTGTGTTCTAACCATCACTCAGCTGGAAAGGGAGTGTAGGTGTAAAAAGGACAGGAAAGAGACAATGCCACTGGCATACAGCAGCCACCTTTAAGAGCTCCAAAATTATCTGGTACTCCAAAGAATTACGGCACACGTGATAATTCCTGAGGCTATAATCATTCGTCTGGGAGAGAAGTCACAGCAGAACCTCGTGAGCTAGGCTCCAACAAAGGGACATTTGTTTAACAGCTTAGAAAAAAAAAATCAAATTATCCACAAATCTAAAAAGTCCATGCAAGGTTGTCATCTTCTAATGAACTTACAGATCTAGTTCTCCAGAGATACACTCCTGGCCTCATGCCAGTAGCTGTATGACCTTAGAGAAATCTCTTTTGAAGTTCTCTGTGTGTATAAAACTTGGATACTAATATTATCTGTCCCTCATGTTTGGAATTGTGTGAATTAATCACTTCAGTCTGGAAAAGTCTTTGCTAATGGTAAATGCTGAATGTTGTCATTTTTACAGGTGCAGGTGGAGACAATGTTACACAGCACATCTATAAATAGAAAGGCCTAGAAATTGCCAGTGGTGCCAACACTGGAGGAGTCAAGGAGACAATATCCCATGTGATTTTGAATGCGCTTCATTTTCTCCCCGAGACTCAGTGAGCGTGTTATAACCGAATACTTAACTCCCTTTCATCTTCTCTGAAAGACTGGAGCTTGTCTTGGACTTGCCCACCATAGAGCACAGTTTTACTGGGTGTTATTGACTTTCTTAAGCCTGCATTCTAAATAAAGTGCTGATATGAGTTAGAACACAGGGTACAGTCTCAGGTTTACAATGCTTGATAATTGAGTCAAGACACGAAGAAAATTCATCCTCAGAAATACCTGCCATGAAAAATGTCGTCTTGAACTTTAGAATGCAGAGGTCTAACTTTTCTTTTAGAGAAAAAAGGTTTTTTCCCCCAAATAAACAAACCACAAAGTGTTATGTGGGCCTAAAATACATAAAAAAGGATAAAAAAAAATTTAGCTGCACTGCATGAAAGGAGAAAGGGGAAGGTTTTCTTGTTCCCTGAAATAACCCCAAGGCAGGTCACAAGAACCAAAGCTCCTCTGAGCCCAGCTGAGAGGCCGTTAGACCAGCTCCTCTCCAAATACCAGTCACATGGAAACCTGGCTGCAGAGCTCTGAGAAGATGCCCTTCACCCAGACTCAGAACTCAGCCTACTCGTTATCTCCCTGGCAACCATGCTCTGGCCATCTCGTCTCTCCTCACCCCTTCAATTCCTGGTGAAAGTCACTCCGCTCCTCAATTCACCTTACTACACCCCTGCTCTCATCACCATTTCCATCATCGGCCTTGCAAATACTTCTGGAGCACTTAACACACAACACGTACAGTGTCATTTCATTTAGTCCTCAGTATGCTACCAAGGGGTGGCTATATTATTCATATTTTAAAAAGGATAGTAACCACCACAGATCTATAAAGGGATTTGCCACCTAAAATATGGCAAAGATAAAAGTAACCCCCAAACAACCTGACTCGAATCTTCTGGAGCCATGGCTACTAAATCCCAAGTCATCTTGTTTATCACTGATTGTAGAGTAGGTGCCTATGTGTTTACCTGTCTTTCTCTACATGTAGTCTTGTTAGTTCTTTGAGAGTATGAACTCTGTCATATCCATTGCTGTATCACTGTCACCTTATACAACGCCTGACACATCCAACAGGTGTTTAGTAATTATTAGGTGATCAGGCTGCCAGCGCATTTGCTTAAAAGGCTAAAACAACTTGTAGTGGTTATTCAAAAGAGCAAAATGATAGAAATACTAGCATGAAAGTTAAACCTTAAGATGGTGGAAAATTTTTCAATAATTTCCTTTTTTAAAAAAAAGATTGATTTTTAAAGTCAGTGAGAGAGAGAGAGAGAATCGAGAGATCAAGATTGTCCACCCACTGGTTCACTCTCAGATGGTCACAATGGTCAGGGTGGGGCTCATCCAAAGTCAGGATCCATGTGAGTGTAGGAGCCCAAGGACTTGGGCCATCTTCTGCTGCTTTCCCAACTGCATTAGCAGGGAGCTGGATTGGAAATGGAGCAGTCAGGACTCAAACCAGCACTCATATAGGATTCTGGTGTCACAAGCAGTGGCTTTACCCACTGTCGCTCCCCCTCTTCGCGGAGGAACGACACAGGACCCTGCACTGTTCTTTTGTCTGCTCGGCCCTCCCCGGGTTTGCTGCTGGTTCTTCCCGGGTTGGCTACCGTCCCTTCCACCTCCGTGGAAGGGCGGTTCCCCCTGCCACTTTCCCCACTTCCGCGGGGGAGCGGCACACCGCCGGCCGGCTCTCTCGGGGGCTGCTCAGGTGTTCCTCATAGATGTTCCTGGTGCATGGTGTCTCTCTCCTCCTTTATAGTCCTCCTCCACCAATCCCAACTCTGCTACCCACACACTGAGCATGCTGCTCTCCTCCAATCAGGAGCAGCTCCTGCAGCTTGTCAAGTTGGTGAGAGGCAGCTGGGTAGAAGCTGTTTGCTCCTCTCCCAGCGCCATATTGTGGGAGAGCAGATGTATAGAATAAGTCTTAATTCCAGTAACAGTATAGTCCGAGTTGCTCCCCACAACCCACTACACAATACCAACCCCTAAAAATAACTTCTAATAGCACTAACTTTTCAACATTTGGAATGAAGACACTCTTGTAAGAAAACCTAATTCTTATAGTACCCAAAACATCCAAATTAACATAATCTTTTGGTATAGGCAGATAGGATCAAATTGATTAGATTTGTGAATTGGCGACCACACCCCCTATGAGCTCTCAAGCCCCTACCTGATCTCACCTGCCCACCTGCCAATGAGACCACGTAACCACCCCACTTTGGGAGTGGATAAAAGTCCTGGAGCATGGTGGGCCTCTCCCTTTTTTGGTTGTGCACCCTTGTTGTGCCCTTGCTGTCCTTTGGGCCACCAGCTCTCTGCTTTCCTGCCTGTATGCTTGCTCCATGTGGCTCCTGGCCTGCTCTTTGCCTGGTGTGGATCCAACTTAGCTTCTAGACTTCTTTCTCCTCTAATTAAAGCCCTCACTTCCCTGTGCATTTCTCTCACTGAATAAAATCCCTAAAAACTTACCATGTTGCCTGGTCTCATTAAGCCAGTATTCAGAATTCTTCTCTGAATAAATGGCAAGAACCCAAGGGATTATTAATATGGAAAATTATTAATAAACAGGACAATATCATTTTGGGAAGGAAATTTGACAATTTCACTTTTTACAAGGTTATCTTTAAAAATATTTCAAAAAACCAAATAAATATACTTATTACAGCATTATTTTTATTGGAAACAGCTGGAAATGGCCTGTTTTAAAAAAAGCAGAATGGCCAAAAATCACAGAAGTAACCATATGGTGATGTTTTATAAGACCCTCATAATTTGGCATGGGAAGACAATAACTTGAAAATATAGTTAAATCATAACATGAAGTAAAGCAAAGAACTATGAAATTTGACCTCAGGCCTGATTTCCTAGCTATTGTTGACAAATTAAAAGAAAAAAACAAAATAAAACCATTGTCCTTACTCTAATTCTCTACCTTCCCTTAAATATCTCTGCACTTTAAATTATTTTATTGTCAGCTAAAATAATAACTATGTGGCACTCTCTCTCTACACACACACACACACACACACACAATTAAAGAGCACCCATCTATTATCATAAGGGCAATAAGTTACATTCACAAAATCCTTCAAGAAATGAAAAAAATTTTAGAGAAGCAAATTGGTTTAATTCCTGGAGTCCAGTTGCTTGTCACACTGTAGGTGGCCTGCTGTATCATGTGTATACAATACAGTGGCTTCTCTAAGGACAGTACACTTGATAGCAGTTTACTTTCATTTGTTTTGGGTTTTGAAATAAGCTAAATTGCCAAGCCTACCCATAATATGCCTCCCTGTTCAATATCCTTGAAGTCATTTGATTTATTTTCTGAGAATCAATAGCCTCTTAAAAGTCTATTTAAAAAATATTATCAGGCTGGCCTTGTGCAGCAGGATAAGCCATCTCCTGTGATGCTGCCATCCCTCATGGGCGCCAGTTTGAGTCCTGGTTCCACCACTTCTGATCCAGCTCCCTGCAAATGTGTCTGGGAAAGCAGCAGACATGGGCCCCTGCCACCCATGTGGGAGACCTGCCTGAAGTTCCTAGCTCCTGGCTTTGGCCCCAGGCTGTTTCAGTGGATGGAAGGGATTTCTCTCTCCCTCTCTCTCTCCCTCTCTCTCTCTCTTTCTCTCTCTGCTCCTACCATCCACAATTTTGCTTTTCAAATAAGTACAATAAATCTTAAAAATAGGTATTATCATTAAGCAGATACCACCAGCACATGATAAAAATTTCACACGGTAATAAAAGATATAAAACATACAAATAAAAACGTCCTTCCAGTCCCCTGAGGTAATCACTGACATGTTCCCATGTCAGTTTCTTTCCACATTCATATGAAGTGCATATATCTTTATTTTTTAAAACATAAACAAAGCCATGATCTACTGTTCATAGTCCTGAGTCACACAAACCTCACAACATATATTAGGATATTTCCAGGATAGACTCTCAACCAGCAATCAAGAAAAAAAAAAAAAAAAAAAACAAGTAAATGGAGACTAAATTTGATGCTAGATTTAGGCCCTTATTTTTTAGTATCCAATGTTTTGGTTTTCATAAAAGTAACCAATGGCCATGAATTCTGTACCATCAAATGGAGTAGCACTACCCTACAGGATTGTGCAATTTACATTCATTATATTCTACCATTCTTATTTCTTTAATCAATCATTAGTCCATCCACAAACATTTGAGATCCTACTATGTGGCAGATACTATATGGGGATCTAGAGAAAAAAACTGAACAGGGTAGATGGAGTCTAATAGGAAGAATTTGCTATCCCATGGATTCTCTGTCTATGCAACCAGGGTTGTTGCATTTTCTCTATCTTTTGCTCTACCAAAAAAATAAAAAATAAAAAAGCACTTAAAGCAGTCAAGAATTTGTTGATCCAAAAATGTAATCAGCTGTTAAAAATTAAAAGCATTTTGCATTTTAGAAAGTAGTAAAGCCTAATAAAAAAATTCTCAGATGGTGAAATTTCAGAGGAATCTATTTTAGACTGGAGTATTCCTAGTATTTTGGTATCAGTTGAAACCAGTCCTGTTTCCCTCTTTTATATCCAAACTCCCCAAGTGACCTAACTCTTCTCCCTAACTGCTTTTATTTCCTGGCCTCTGGCTCCTACCATTTCATTCCATTGAATTGTACTAAAGAACACAAAGAGCATTCTCACTAAATCCAACAATCTTTCGTTAGGAAACCATTATACTGAGATTTATGTAACATTATCCTTGTTTAGCTACCCTTCTACTCTGAGGAATCCTCTCTTTCTCCTTTAAAAGCTTCTCTTCTTTTGATCTCTGAAACATGTGAGTTATTTAGGTGACTACTTGAGCAAGTAATACCCATATTTAAAATCGTCACTGGTGTTCCAGCTTCTCAAATTGTGTTTCAAGGAACATTGTTCCCACAAGATTACCTTAAAAATACCAGCATTTAGGAGCTATGGCAAATACCTCTCCCTTGTACATTCTATAGGGATTGTAAAATTAAATATCCTCTTTCCTGATCACACTTCCAGATGGAGTGAACACATGCCACGACTCTGGCCAGTAAGTCATAAAATCTGAAGTCTGTTAACTCTTGACCTTTCTGAATGCTTTTAACATGGATTCAAAGCAGGAACTGCAACAGACAGCTTGTGGTTTTGAAGGAAAGGCTAAGCAAACTGCAAAGACATCTGCCTCCATAGGGCAGAGCCTTGAACTGAGGCCTGCAACCACCTACCTCCTGAATTCTTGTTGTATAAGACAAGTAACTGCCAATTTATCTGGAATTCCAAGATCTGGTGACTTACACCTTGCAGTTGAATACACTCTTAACAAGATATAAAAATGCTATGCTTGGAGCCAGCACTGTGGCGTAGTGGATAAAGCCACCACCTGCAGGGCCAGCATGCCATATAAGCACTGGTTCAAGTCCTCCCAGTTGCTCTACTTTCAATCCAGTATCTGCTATGACCTGGGAAAGCATTAGAAGATAGCCCAAGTGCCTGGACTCCTGCACCCACGAGAGAGACCTGGAAGAAGCTCCAGGCTCCTGACTTCTAGCTTTGGATTGGCCCAGCTCTGGCCATTGTGGCCATCTGGGGGAGTGAACCAGCAGACGGAAGACTTCATTCTCTCTCTCTGCCTCTCTGTAACTCTGCCTTTCAAATAAATAAATAAATCTTTTTAAAAGAATGCTATGTTTTATTGTCCTGCCTGGAACTGCATATTGCACATTAGAATATCTTAAATTCTCAAGAAAAGAAATCTTTGTTGGGGTATACATTTTGGCACAGTGCATCAAACTACTGCTTGATATCCCAGCATTTTATATCAGAGTACACACTTGAGTCCTAGCACTTATTCCAATCCAGCTCCCTGTTAATGTGCCTGTGAAGCAGTAGGTGATGGCCCAAATACTTGGGTTCCTGTCACCTATGTGGGAGACCTGGATGGAGTTCCTGGCTCCCGGTTTTGGACTGGCTCAGCCCCAGCTGTTAGAGCCATTTGGGAAGTGAACCAGTCTATGGAAGATATTAAATAAATCTTTTTAAAAAAAAATAGAGAAGAAATTTGATAAGTTTAAATATATAATCTCCTAAATTTGTTTGATCAAGCAGCCCTTTACTTTCTATACTGTTAATATCCCATGTAACTATGGCTCTCTACATCCTTGCTTTTCAAAGCGGGACTCCTAAACCAGCAACATACGCATCACCTAGAAACGTGGGAGGAAACCATAATCGAAGACCCACCACAGAATCAGAATTTACATTTTAACAAGATCCCCAGTGATGTATGAGTTGAAATTTGAGATGCACTATTTTAGGAAACACTGGTGTAGAGGATAAAATATAACTAACCTGAACACCTTTATTTATGAGGGCACTTCAGAAAGTTCATGGGAAGGTGGGAGTAAAAGATTTGTTTACTTTGTTTATTGGTGCAGGGAAATTTTGAAAGCCAGGGCAAGTGTTTGGTACTACGATTAATATGTCAGTTGGGACACCCACATCCCACATCAGAGTGCCTGGATTCAAGTCCCAAATCCATCTTAGATTCCAGCTTCTTTCTAATGCACACTCTGAGAGGCAGCAGGTAATAGCTCAAGTACTTGGGTTTCTGCTACCCACATGGGAGATCCAGGTTTAGTTTCAAGCTTCTGACTTTGATCCTAGCCCCGTCCTCGCTGTTGAAGGTATTTGGAGAATGAACTAGCCAAAGGGGAGTGTGCTTGCTTGCTCTCTCTCTCAAATAATAAATAAAAGTTTAAAAATTTTTGGAAATACATTCAGTGTCTTCATTTTCCACATGCTTAAAAACTATTTACTGATTTAAATTTGAAAGGAAAAGAAACAGATATAGAAAGCCTGCCAGCTCACTCCCCAAATGCCAATAGCAGCCAGGTTTGGGCTAGGCCAAAACCAGGAGTCTAGCATTCCACCCATATCGCCCACATGACTGGCAGGAACATAGCTATTGAACTATCACCTGCCACCTCACAGGTGCACATTAGCAGGAAGCTGGAATCCAAAGAAAAGCTGGGACTCAAGCCCAGGAACTGTGACGTGGGATGCGGTGTCCCAAGTGCTGCCTTTCTCTCTCTTTCTTCCTTCCTTCCTTCATTTCTTTTTTTTTCTTTCCCTCTTCCTTCCTTTCTTTGTTCCTCTTTTCCTTCCTTCTGTCCTTTCTTTCAAGGTTTATTTATTTATTTGAAAGGCAGAGCTACAAAAAGAAGGGGAGAGACAGAGATATCTTCCATCTGCTGGTTCACTCCCCAAATGGCTGCAACAGCCAGAGCTGGTCCGGGCCAAAGTCAGGAGCCTGGAACACCATCTGGGTCTCCCACATGAGTGGCTGGGGACCAAGTACTTGGACCATCTTATACTGCTTTCCCAGGTGCATTAGCAGGGAGCTGGATCAGCAGCAGAATAGCCAGAACTTGAAGCAGCACTCCAATTTGGGATACCAGCATCACTTGCTGAGATTTACCGCGCTGTGCAACAATGCCAGCCCATGAGGAGGCATCTTAATCACTGCACTATGAACTTTTTAAAAGTACCCTCATATGTGATCCATGATCTCAGACATCTAATTTTATTGTCTCTTAATGCCTGCTTCATTAATAATCACATATATCTTAGGAATGCTGACTTTGTACAAGGCATTATGCTAAGCACTTCACTTGTGTAATCAAAGCAATAGCAGAGGCTCAGAGAAGTTTATAACCTCCCCCAAGTCACAGAGCTATTAAGTAACGAATACTTGAAGGATTTAAAGATCATTAAATGATATTGCCTCTCTAACCTGCCAATGTTTCTGTGTACTTTCCCACTTCATGCAGTTTACACAGATGGTTCTTTCAACCTGCAATGATCTACCCACTACATCCAGATTAAAAAAAAATCTTATTTCCAAAATTTACTTCTTCTGGGAAATTCTCAGCTCTGCTAAACAGAGATCATAGTATCTCATATGATCAGCAGAAGAGTTAAAACAAGGCCTGTGAAAGAGTATCTAACCTACATAAACACCCTGAAAATATGAGTAGAGCTTCATAGTGATTCAGATCCTATTTGTGGGGCTGGCGTTGTGCCCTAGCAGGTTAAGCCACTGCCTGCCATGCTGGCATTCCATATGGGCACCTGTTTGAATCCCAGCTGCTCCACCTCTGATCTAGCTCTCTGCTATGGCCTGGGAAAGTAGTGGAAGATGCCTCAAGTCCTTGGGCCCCTGCACCCACATGGGAGATCCGGAAGAAGCACCAGGTTCCTGGCTTCAGATGGGCCCAGCTCTAGCCATTGCAGCTGTTTGGAGAGTGAACCAATGGGTAGAAGACCTCTATCACTCTCTCTGCCTCTGCCTCTGTGGCTCTACCTTTCAAATAAGTACATTAAAAAAAAGCCTGAGGTTTAAAAAAAATCAAATACAATAAATCTTTTAAAAAAATGAACTTAAGAATTTCATCTCTATTTTTGTGTTTTGTGTTTTTATGCTTGTTTTTTAAATTTATTTATGTATTTAAGAGAGACAGAAACAAAAACAGAGATAGGTCCTATCCACTGATTTACTCCATAAATGCCCAAATGCCAGAAGCTGGAACTAAGAATTTGATCCAGATATCTCACATGGCTGGCAGGAATCCAATCCTTGAGCCATCATTCCTTTCTCCCAGGGTGTGCATTAGCAGGAAGCTGGAATCAAGAGCCAGTGCTGGGTACAAACCCCAGGCACTCTAATACAGGACATGGGCATCTAACTGCTGGTCTAAACATCTACTCCTCCAGCTCATAATATTTATTGTGCATATAGTTGATTTGACAACTCATTATTTGCTGGCTTTCGTTGTGTGTTTTGTCAACTGCATTCATGCTTAATTGTTTTTTTAAAGATTTATTTATTTATTTGAAAGGTAGAGATACAGAGACAGAAGAAGAAAGAGGGAGGGAGGGAGGGAGGGAGAGAGAGAGAGAATCTTCCACCCACTGGTTCACTCTCCAAA